TCGAGCTTCATCTCTAGGGCGTCTCTCCTTTCCTGCCATTCCTGGCGCTCCACGTTGCGTCCATGCAGGTCCCGCTCAACTGCCTACCGCAGATACTGAAGTCGCAGGTGGGGAAGCGGTGCTGCCAGCAGGCCTGGTCCTCTTCTGTGTGGAAGACCGTCTCTGGGTGCTTTGCGGAGGAGAGGTGGCCCTGCCACTGCTTCTCGTTGTTACCGTTCTTCCTGCACATCCAGCGAGGGAAGGTCACTGGCACTTCTGCATAATCTGTTGGCCTGTGAATTTGTTTTCTATTTTCCTTGTTTGGCTGGCTGGAGACGTCATCATGTTTTCCCTTTTTTTTTTGACTCTTTAGCCAAAGTTCATAAAACTGCTCCATGTCTTGTATTCCATTCTCTTTCGTGTAAGTCCACACTTCTGATTTTTGAGCAACAGTCTCCTGTGAGATACCGTTTTCATTAGGCCTCGATCAGACTCAGCTTTACAAGGCTGTGCGCATAAAAGCACACGTCTTCCCTTAGGCAGCCATATCAGACTTCCTGTCGACACAAATCAAGGCGACATTGACCATGGAAAACACGATTTTGCCGCATTTTACTGTGGTCTCTTGCAAAATGTGGGCACGGCACTTCTTGTCTTCAAATGCATGCCTTGTAACTGGATGAGAACAGGAAGCAGAATTTTCTTTCTTTCTTTCGCTGAGCATTCTAGGCCTATGATCAAAACATTTCTCACAAAGGAATATAAATTCTCCAAGATGCTCCTACAGAAGTTTGAAGACTGTCAGGTTTATCTTTCCATTGTCACCAAAGAAAGCCTCTGGGCTGAAGGCCCCTTTGTGCTCCAGCGTGCAGAAATCAGTCTCTTCTTGGCAATAAGCAAACGCGCAGTGGCCTGAATATCTATAGTCCTCAGCGGCAACATCTTTACCTATATAATATGGTCCCGCCTAATTTGTTTCTGTTGGTCATGGAGGTATTTTTTCCCCATGAATTATTTTCAGTGTTCTTTAGCCTACCAATTAAAATGTCTTTCTTACATTTATGATCTATATTGTCATTGAAAGTGAAATCCATGAACTCAGGGCCTGTTTTCTTTTTTTAAAC